CAGAACAAAAGTATTTGGCTAGTCGAAAAGTTCTCTCGTTAACCGGGATAACTTTTGCCCATATGAACAGGCCCTAAGCTTGTCGGAGCTGACATACGCAAAGTCGATCAGTCAAAAAGTCAAAATCCAGTGTTCTGATTGGTCTAGACGCTTATCTCCATGGAAACAAGCGATTTTTTGCGATTTTGACTGATCTGTGGGTGTGGGGAGTTCTGATCGATTTACAAAAGTCAGGGGCGCCCCCATTAGTCGAAATATCATTAATATTTGACGTGAGCTAAAGTCTCTCTGAGTGCGCGCTCATGCATATTCGAAGTGTCACGTTGGAGCTTTGTCGAAAGATTAGTTCAATTAGCCATTTCCCAAAGTCCTGGGTCTAGTCGTGCGAATCCAATGTTGGAGGGACAAGAAATATGGCAGCACTGCGCACATTTAAATTAAATGTTTAATGTAAAAAGGAGATATTTCATTTTTGGTCGTCTAAAAAGTTGATATTTGATAGTAGATACTTCTACTCTTTCACAATTAGACGCCTGTCACCATATATTTTGTCCTTCCAAACAATCCCAGAATGCACTATGATCTCTTTTGGGAAAAGGCTAATTTAAAGATTTCTACGGAAATTCGGAAATGTCTGCTACTCTTTGTAGTATTTACGAAACGGTTTAATCCGCATTTGCGGTGAATGATTTAGCTGTCTTACAATTAAGATTGTTGGGCTGATCTTGGATGATCATGAGTTCGGGAAGGTTGCCGAGCAGTTGCTAGGCGACTACAGTTTGAGTAGAAGTATAGTGTTTACTTAGTGTTTACTAATTATCTATTCCACTAACGCGTTTTTGGATAAGGCCACATAAAAAATTACTTGTTTAGCGCGTAGGCCGCGGGTTTTTGGTGGGTTTTTTTCGTAGAATGCAACACAAAATTCTGCTACAGCCTACAAGGTGTTTGAAAAGCTAAATGCAGGAAATCCAGCGTACCACCACAGTCAAAACTCACTTTAATTCTTTCAAAATCCCTTCATGGTTTATTAATAAAACAGAAAATTACAATTTGGCGTGCGAAGCGGTCACGCGCGAACACTTTACCTGCGAACAGGCATATTCTGGGAAGGAAATAGAAATACTTCATGTAAACGTATTACATAACCCCGGAAGAATAAAATCACCATTTTTTTACAAGTATAAAAACGGTCTTTTTTATCTGAGACAGTTTTGGCACTGAACTCGGACGGATTTTGGAAAAAAAAATTAAAAAATTGAAAGTCGATCGGGCCGGACTTTTATCTGATCCGGGCGGGGACGCTAAACAAGTAATTTTTTTCAGTATGTGGCCTAATAGGGGCATGATTTTCAGGGACGGAAATAAGCGCTGTTTTAAAGACATCCATAAATAATTTACAGTTGGTCACACAGAATTTCCTCATATATACTCTCGAGGATAAAGT